TTACCGCTAACTTTAGCGTCCTTTTGAAACGGTGAGACTTCTGATTGAAGTTGGTTTGCGTATGTGCCTCAGCAGCGAAGTGGTCGCGAGTGAGTCTAACCTAGTCTAAGCTTAGCTGACACTTACCTTTAGTCTTATAACATAGACAGAAACCTTAATCTTCACCAAAACTAGCTGTTTGAAGGTCCCCCATAACAACCAGATGGCTAGCTAGGGCAGCAAGACCAGTGAGTCCATCGTGAAAAAGGCCCACAACCTATCAATTGAGCCGAACAGCAGAAATTCCTGCGAAAAAGACACTCAGAAAAATTTGGAGATTGTCATTTAACGGAATGAGAAAAAGATGCATGTGTGTGCAGAGAATACTGAACCACAACGTAGTAATTACAACAAATCAAAGAAAAAATTTCAAACCACACTGTCCTATTTCACTTTCCACTCACTCTGTTTTCCACGCTACTTTCCAAATAACGCCTAATATTTACTCAAAGCGAGAATCGAGAAAAGTTAACCAATCTCACAAGCGGCTCCTCTGCTCCCACAGATAAGCTAACAAACGGTTTGTAAAAGAAAACTTTCAGGTGGTTAATCACTACCTTGAAGTCGCAGGCAGGTAAACTGTAAAAATTTATGCAACCACTGAAGGAGTGCAGCCAAAAGAACTGATCCTTCAGACCTAGAAGCGAGAGTTCAATTCTATATCTTCCCTTTGCTAGCATTACTGATGTTAGGTGTTGGATGGTGTCAAATGGCGTTGATGCCTGACCTCACCATTGCTAAATCCCATCGAAAGTGAAGTTACCGATTTCGTGGACTTATTTGCCGCTAGTTTTCCACTCTGTCGCCCACTCAACCGTAACCATAAAACGAATCCGAAGCCTGGAAGATACTTGTTTAGATAACAGGTACAACTTCGAATTCTTGAGAGTCTATAAGTCCCATTTCGCGCATCCGGATATCGATATCGATTTGTGTTTTGTATGGAAGCTCACCGCAGCGTCACACACTCCCCCAAAATCAATAACCTAGGGTTTGACGAGATTCAAAATTAATGCTGACACTGATAGTTTAAGTGGACTCGCCAAGCTGAAGGCATCCGGTCAAGCATCCTCTCTATTTAGCACTGTCGTGTTACGCTGCACTTCTCATAATCGACTCTCTAGCCAGTTAGTTGGAACGCATCGGTATCTTGGCGCGACCTCGCAAATATACTACTCCATCCGAATAAGCTATTGCGTTCTTTCTTGGTCTCGTATTAGTGGGAATATAACGAGTCCGAATAATTAGTGATTGGCTTTTGCGTCTGTCTAGTTCGCACCAGGTTAATTCATACATCACTTATAACTAACTTGATTTTTATATTTTAACCACCATCTTTCTCTCTCTGTATTTGTGAACAGGTTTACAACTACAAGAACTGTGGTTCATTTCTTTCTAGATATGGATGACAAGTAATCAAAATTTGCTTTCGAGTTAGCAGTCACTTGTCTATTTGCGTTCAAATATTACCAATTTCCTTCATTTATATTAGAGATATTGATCTTGATGAATGCTATACTTTAGTACCCCATCAGTTGTTTGAAGTCAGTCTAATATCCAGAAAATTCCACCTATGCACTTAAACTTATTTCTTCTTAAAGTGTCGATGAACGATTCCAGCGGTATTTCAATTTGGGGACATATGAAGGACGAGTCCTTGGCCGGTCAACCGGGTAGGTCGCAATTCAGTGTACCTTTAAATAACTCTAAAGAGCCTTCCGGCAACTTTTGAGATGACGAATTACGCTTCTTTATCATATGAAAAATATTCACTTAGCTGGGATGGCAATTTCAATTGGTTAAAGCAGCAGCTGGCAGTGTGGCTAAGTACGTGCCTAATTAAGGACTTTACATTTAGGGTACGCTAAATTTTAGGTCCTTAATTAAGGACTAGTAGGTAATAACTGGTCTTACAAAAATGAAGTCCTAAGCGTATCAAATTTATGTGTTTGTATAGAAAATCAACATAAAACAGTTTTGGGCGTTGAAAACAATATGCATTTGACAACAGGCGATTTTGTATCTTCGGTGCTGTATTTTGTACCTTTTCTCTGGTACGTATTCTGTCTGTCAGAAACATCTTGACTATAGGTAGAAGTACGTGAGGGCGATTTCAAAGGAGATTAGTAACTTACCCTCACGCAAAACCTTTTTCTGTGACACGCGCTTGACAAGCGCAGCATATTAAAATAGTTAGTTAGGGAAAGCCTATTCATGCAAACACAGTGATTATACGCCACTAAAATAATTATATTTCCTCAATACTTAAAAGGTGCATCCAGAATGAACTGTACTCAAAGTATGCACTGTTCACTGCTACTATAATAACAGTCAACCAAAAAAGGGGAAATGAGGGCGAAAAGTCGGCAAATAAGGGGGAATTATGCGTAATTAAGGCTGATAAACCGATAAAAATAGGGGAAAATAAACAAGGTATAAGTAGGAAAGCGACTTTTAATGGGACGAACATATGAACAAGCATTCTTGTGATCTGTTGATTACTGAGTCACCTGCCTGCTCTTTAGTTGGTACCTAATTTCGCCATGCATAGGTAGCTTCTTCATAAAATGAGATGCCCAACTGGATGAGTAGGTTTTAAAGTAAATTTTTGTTCCATGCAATCAAACTTTGATGAATTCCTTCAAATATCCTGAGCGTTTTCTTGCATCATAGTTTCTGCGATGCTTTATCAGAAAGATGCCTCTACCTGTGTTAAATATAAGGAGGAACTCAAAGTTCACCCAGTTATCTGCACGTTCGTGCTACAGGCAATGGGTTACACTTGTGTGAGGGCGGATGATACCACTTGACTCCCCCTAATCTCTGTAGATGGAGCTGGGTTCGAATTCGTGAACCTCTCGCCGAAAGCCAATTGCCTAGTGACAAAGGTTCTACTTCGTATTTTCCGCCTGACACCACTATCATATATTGCATCACATCTTTAGCATCTTAATTGCGTTAACATTCTGCCCGATGTTCATTCGGTTGCCGTTTTCCCTAGTTAACTGTGAACAATCCTACAAAGAATTCCACCTTTGTGTGACCTGAAAATCGTATTAACAGATAATTAGGGTTCAACTTAAAATTTTAATGTCCCAATTGCGCTTGGTGGACATCCCTATAGTTGAAATTCTGAAGAGCTTTCCTCTTCAACTCGGTATTACAGAGATATAATCTTACATGAAACTCCCTACTCGACTAAAAGTTCTCTAACCGAACGCGAGGTATTCTGAAAAACGTTGAGTGACAACTGGGTGGTATTTCTTACTGCTTAAATGCGGATTGTTGTTTAAGTACTGGTCAGCATATATGCATCTATAAACCGTCAGTCAATCAATCATTATCAACATAGGACCAGGCATTACTGCGTAACGGTCCGAGTTGCCACACCTCACGTCAGTTCATCAAGTTGAAAGGTAGTGAGGTGAAGGATGAAGATAAGTGAATGCAGTCAAAAGAAATATAAAGTACGAGAAGAAAGGAAAGAGGAGTGACAAATGGTGAGATTCGGTATAGCGTTGTTAAGATGAGGATAATGTGTGTATACATCTGCGCCACTGACTTCGGTTCTGAGCCATATCACCTAGTCTCCAACCACTGGTTCCTCTTGTCCCGTGGACCCCAACCACCTAGTCTGCATCGTCCTACATGGCTTAAACCAACAGTCAGAGACTTCATACATTGGTGCCATGTTTTAGTCTGGCCACCTCGGGCCTTTTTCCAGCCTGTACCCACCTCAGCCAACATTGTGTGACGAGGCAATCGGTGACTAGGCATACGTAGTACGTGTCCCAACCATCTCAGTCGATGAAGGTTCAAAACCTCGTCAACTGACTTACCTCTTCTCCCTAAAACTCTACACCTAACTTCTGCATTACTCACGTGGTGACACCACGGAATACGTCCTATACTACGAAGGCAACGGTGGTCAAACACCTGAAGCCTTTTTGTATCCTCCACTTTCAATGGCCATGTTTCACAGCCATACAGTAGAACAGAGCGGACTGCTGTGCAGTACACGCGACCCTTAATAGACAAACGGATATCACGGCGGCGCCATAGGTGGCGCAAATTGGCAAAAGCCAATCGAGCCTTTTGTATCCGTGCAGAAATCTCATCGGCAACTGACCCACCAGAGTTGAAGTGGTCAACACACTCAACCACTTCACTCTCTATTGTTAACCGCGGTACCGCTGAAGACCAGTCCTGGAGCAAAAATTTGCATTTGGGTGGTGAAAATCGCATCCCAAACATTCTCAAATTCCCACTCAAAGTGTTCAGAAGACTCTGCATCTTGTCAGCGTCTTCACCTAACAGGACTATGTCATCTGCATATTCTAGATCTAAAGAAAATTCACCTGTGATTGGGTCAACGTCTGTGTAATTAGGTGACGAGAGGGAAACCTCCATAAGAATATCTATGATAAAATTAAATAAGAATGGGGATAGTGGGCATCCTTGACGGACACCACTTGATGAGTATAGCTCCCTGGACAACTCACCATAGGCTCTAACATGCCCACAAGTGTTCGAGTAGAGAGCTTTCAATAAGGTGATGTACTTACTAGGCACGCCTTTCAGTGACAGACACTGCCATAAGACTTCTCGATCAACGGAGTCAAATGCCGCCTTCAGGTCGAGAAATACAGCTATTGTCGGGCGTCTGTAAGCATGCCTATGTTCCAGGACCTGGCGCAGTGTGAATATTTGGTCGATACATCCACGGCCAGGTCTAAAGCCTGCCTGGTTTTCTCGGGCTTGCTGTTCCCGAGCTCCACTCAGGCGTCGGAGAATTATAGAACTTAGGATCTTAGACACTATGTTTGTCAGGCTGATTCCTCTGTGGTTATCACAAGAGGACTTCTCGCCTTTCTTGAAGACTGGGATGATGAGTGACTTAGACCAGTCGGAGGGGATCGTATTTGATTCCCATATACTGGCTAACACTTCCGTTAGCCTGACTAAGAGCACTCTACCACCATTCTTGTATACCTCAGCAGGTAGTCCGTCTGGTCCTGCTGCCCTTCCCGTTTCAGGCTACCTACCGCTTTCTCAACTTCTTCTAGTGTTGGGGGACCTGTCTCTATGTCCCATTCAGGGTCCGACTGGATAGCGGGCAGCGCAATGGTGGCTGGAGGCCAGTTAAACTGTTCCTCGAAGTGTTCTGCCCATCGTCCCAGTCGCCTTCCCTGCGAGTGAATCGCAGATCCGTCCTTCTCCGCTATAACCTCACTAACTGTTGTTGACCATTTCCCCCCAGTCTCCTTAATAAGTCTAAATAACTGTCTACTGTTACCGATCGCCGCTGCCTTTTCCATCTCTTTAGCCTTCGCTGCCCACCACTGTTCACGATCGTTGCGCAGACTTTTCGTCAGTCTATTTTTAAGTTGCGCTCGCTCTTCATTGTACTCAGAGCCTGCAGGGATGCATTCACGTGCATCCATTAGTTTGGAAGAAGCTGCTGATATCCACTGGCTCTTTTTAGCCATTATTTTGGAGTCGGCTACAGTCTTCAGTGCTGCTTTTACAGTAGACTGAAGATGGCACCAAGCTTCTTCTGGATGAGTGACAGTCTTTTGTTCCGATAACTGCCTAGCCAACTTCTCACTGAACACGGCTTTGGTGTTTTCGTTGTCCAGCAGAACTCGTAGTGGTTTTGTTGCCAAATTTTTTCTACGTCCATTGAGACGCAGGCATATACGTGCTCGGACCAACGCATGATCGCTGTCCAAACACGTACTCCAGAAGGAGCGGCAGTCTTCCACCGATCCTCTCCAGCGATGACTAATAGCAATGTGGTCTATCTGTGTCCATCGCTGAGTCGAGCTCGGTGGACGCCAGGTCAGACAGTGCCTTTCTTTATGTCTGAAATTTGTGCTGGCTAAAAATAGGCGGTTATCTGAGCATAGTTGTAATAGGCGATCACCGTTATCTGTACGTTCAGCTGGGATTCCGAAAGTGCCACCTAAGTGCCTTTCTGCCTCACTCAGTCTACCCACCTGTGCGTTGAGGTCACCTGCAACAACCACTACGTCCGAACGTTTGGCTTTCGAGAGGAGGTTAGACAGTTTACTGTAGAACTTGGTCAAATGACAGTGACACCAGCGATATTCACCGTATTCATTGCTGCTGTCATGACTTTTGGTACGCATGTGTCACTTAATTTTATGGTGCGCTTACATAGATATGGCTGATCACGTTGTTAATTCCGCATAGTTTTAACTTCTTGCACATGTTTTGGTGTCCTAACCTCTGTTCAGCGCACAATAAGTTTAGTGCTCACCATTGTGATGTATTGTTGGTGACGTGACTCGCGGATATAAAAAGGTTACGATTTTTCATTTTGAGGTTTTTGGAGATTTATTTACTTCAAGGTAGTATTCAGCACTAACTGACATCATTTGGAGATGCATTCAATCTTACGACGTGATTTACATAGAAGAACTAAGTGATCTTTTGCTCAAAAAAAACAGTTTGGCAGATTAATTGACTTTTCTTGACAGGCAGTTATTTAGAATGCATAAGGCATACTAAAAATAATCTGAAGTCAATCTGAAACAATCCAGACCATGCTGTAATACTATTAAATAGGTCCTAAGTAGAAAGACCATTCAAACAGTCCAGTAACTTTAGGGTAGTTATTTTCCTTTCTTCGGCAATCACGAAAGTTTGATTTCCTCCTCTTCTCTCTTTATCATACCTTTCTACAACTTTCAATCACATTATTTCTCTCTACATATCTGTGATCTTGTAACCTATCTTGTTGTGCTAACTTGAAGTGCTTAAACTTGAACCGTTGCACAATGATGCCATGTCCTATGCTGATACTGACTGACTACTAACATTGTTATTAACCAGTCAACAGAAAAGTACAATTTACAAAGCTGAAAGAATAGAATCTTGAACTAAAAGTGTCTGTTGTGTTTCTTTGACGCGCATACGTAACCCAATGTATTTATTAGCCTAAACTCGCCTGGCTAATTTAATGAATCTTGAAAATCCACTTGCCAGTATCCAAAGCTTTCATTGTGTAAGTACGGTACTGTTATCAGCAGAAAGAACATTTGTCGATTAAATACCAGTCGATTCTTATCGGTACAGTATCCGGCTGACTGGAACTGTAGAAACTAAAAAGAACTATGATGTTCGTCGATGCCTATTTACATTCTCCTCCTATGCACACCTCGGTTAGTATTACGTGAATCATATTTTTCTAAAAGCTTTCGATTTCGCAACTTCAAACTGAAATTTCAAACAGATGGTCATACTAGCAAGCAATTTTAATCCTTATGTAGCGAACATGGTCCAGTTCGAAAGGTACTGTAAAAGCATTTGCAGGGTCTTTTGCAAACAACAATTTTCGTCTACAGTTTCACACTGACATTTGCTTATTCTTAGCTAACACTAACTTCAAGCAGTCTGATTTGGCGTCAGCGCCAAGGAAAATGATTTTGCAAGGTGACAGCGGAATTCAAAAAGAATCAACGCTGAGTCAAGTTATACGAGAGAGTTTAGTCTTTTTTATTATCTTATTTATTCTTCTGTTATATTCTCTACTGAGGCCATAAGTTAGTAGTACAGAAAAGTTTGCATACTCGTCAGCAAATAGCCTAAGTCTGATAGTCGAATTTCTGAATAGACAATAAGAGTACTGTGATACGTTTTGTACATAACACCTCGAAAAATACTTCTCAAGCTTTATTAATTTCGTTTTAGATATTTTTTATAACTCGAAGTAACATATTAACTGACTTCGAGGTCTATCATGATTGACGACATAGCTGATGCGATTCCACAGTTGACAGATAACCTGCATAAAGGTCAAATGGGAAGAATTGCCGTTGTCGGTGGATCCAAAGAGTCAGTTCATACAAATTTTGTTACAATTAATTGTTAACAGATATACCGGAGCACCGTTCTTCTCTGCTATTAGTGCTTTATATTGTGTAGGTATTTTGTGAAAACAACATAAGCAGTACTACCAATGTATATTTAGGGTGCTGATTTAGTTCATGTTATTTGCTCATCATCTTCAGCTCCTGTTATCAAATCATATAGTCCTGATTTGATTGTTCATCCTGTATTGTAAGCTACTTAATACCCAATAAGTAACTGCCCGGATATTTAGAGATGAAAGTCTCACTGAGGCAGTTAAATGCATGGATAGAGTTCATGCAGTCACTTTCGGACCTGGGCTTGGAATAACCGAGAATATTGAGAATACTATTAAGGTGAACTTCCTTATATAGATATTCTTCTACAATCATCACATTTTTTAGTTAATAGATTATTGTAAATCAACCAATAAACCTATTGTTATTGACGCAGACGCTTTACACATAATCAATGACAATCCATCTCTTATAGAAGGTTACCGAAAAACTATCCTCACACCAAATACTGTTGAATTTTCAAGATTATACTATTCTGTTGTAAGTAATACGTGCCCACAGTATATATTTCTTCATATCACGCATGTGTAGTTTTCATGCAATCCAAATAATACAAGTGATGCAACAAAATGTCTTGCGGATAAACTTGGTGTAACTATCGTTCACAAAGGTCCTGCAGATATTATATCTGATGGTCAGACAAGTAAGTCGATTTTGTGAACACATGGAATTTTGATGAGTCAATATGGTGCACACTTAATTGCTTCCATTGCTTTCCCCTCTCTATCAACCGTGTTGATGTCTTAGGCTTAGCTTAGTAATATCGTTTACTGCACTATAGAGAGTCTAAATTTCCAAAGACAATTTTTAATGTCCATTTTAAGATCATTTACGGTGTATCTTCTTAAGGAAGTACAATGGTATTTTTTCATGGGTGTTCTATTCAGTTGAGTAAATAAGTTTGTTGTTTCTGTTTTCGTTGAGGCTTTACCGATGGAACTGTACATTGTTTGCACTTTGGTTAATGCATTTCCATCAAAAGCCATTTTATTTTTTAGCAGACTAGAAATCTTGTCAGAGATCTAATCGTTATCATTTCTACTCGGTTTGTATCGATATCACGTTGACTGAATGCTGAGAACTTCTACTTAATTATCCTTGGGTCTTTTATTCTCAGTGTGAATCGTTTTTATTTTGTTCCGTGTTTCTTATGTGGTTAGTTAAAGTTAGTATGTAAATGAGCTCAGCTCCTCATACGAATAGATTGTTAGAGGAATGGTATCTAACCAAGGCTCTCCACACGAACCTGTCTCGCCTTGTAAAGACTAATGGGAAATTGTTGTCTGGGGGTAACGAGGAACAGTAGCGTTTAACAAGTGTTCACTACGAACATTCTAGACAGGTGAAGTGGTCGACTTGACTAACCATTTCGCTCACACGGCATCACTGAAGACCAGTTCTAGAGCAACAGTTTGCATCATGGTGGCGAAAAATGCATCATAAACATTCTCAAACTGCTAATTAAGGTGTCCAGAAGACTCCGTCTTGTCAGCGTCTTTATCTGAAAGGATTGTGTCACTTGCATACTCTTCATCTGTGATAAGATCAGTACCTGTGAAGTCAGACGACGAGAGATAGACCTCCACATATACGTCTGTGATAAAGTTGAGTGGGGATGGAGAGAGCAGACAACCTTGACGGGCATCACTAGACGTACACAACTCACTATAGGGTCTAACACGCCCACGAGTGTTCGAGTACAAGGTCGTACTTTCTGAGCAACTGTGCTTTCGGTGAGAAGCAGTGCCACAAAACTCCGGCCGATGGAGTCCAACACCACATTCGGGTCGGGAAATACAGGTAGTGTCAGGCCTCGGTAAGTGTCCCTGTGCCATTATTTGACGAAGAGTGAATGTGTGGTCGATACATTCACAGCCAGGTCTGAAGCCTGCCCGGTTTTCTGGAGTATGCTATTCTGAAGTTTTAGTGAGTGTCTGCGACTCCAGTTTCTACGATTATTAGACGCTTATGTCCATTATTAGCCTGATTTCCATCTGGTTTTCAGACCATCAGCGATTGAAACCGTTTAGAGGGTATCATATCTGACTCCCATATATTAGTTAACATTTCACTTAATTTGACAAATAATCCACGCTTTCTGTCCTGAAATAGTTCTGATACTATTTCGTCTGGCTCTGCTGCTCTTACTCGTTTCACATTGCTTATGGCTTTCTTGACATCTGTAAGTTTTGGGGTCCTATCACCATGTTCCATTCAGGATCCGACTGGATAGTATCTGATAGCCAGTTAAACTGTACCTTAAAATGTCTACTACTTTGTGGACGAATCACAAACCTATCCTCATTCGCTATAATTTCACCAATCATTGATCTTTTCTTGTTAACCTTCCTAATAAGTCTAAATAACTGTCTACTGTTACCTATTTCTACTGCCTTTTATTAAATGATAGAATCATGTACATTAAGCAACTCATTATTTTTAGAAGTGTTTGTCGTTCGATAATAATTGAGGTGTCAAACTTAAGCTTACAGACTGTCTTATAAAAGTATCTTAACGATTTCAAATGAAATGTTTTAGAAAAATAAATACAATAACCCAAGTAATTGTGCTTATATCAGCTTGAGACTTCCCTTCGATTGCATAAATTGTTTCATCTAGTTTAATTGGCTGACTATTCAACCAATATGATACTCTGACTCTTTTTCAAAGACATTTTCATGCAGCTTGATGTAAGTCATGGTGAGGAGTTGTTATACCATAAAATTATAATCTGCTTCATTTGAAGTGATTCAACTTTCTTAAGTTAGCTGGTCATCTCGCAGTGTACTACTGCAAGTAATAAATCGGTAGTCATCAACACTTCAGGGTGTTCTTCTGTCCAGTGGGTTAGAGATTATCTGGAATACATTTGGGTATTATTCTGTAGAAGTTTATCAATAAGTTCACTTCAGTTTTCTTACTTCAGCTTTTGAAATCTCATTTTTATCGCATATTTATCTCCTCTTATTTTTTTACTCATAAAGCTGTGCTATGCATAGAGCAAGGGTCACCACGAAGATGTGGTGGCCAAGGAGACATACTTTCGGGTACAATGTCGGTATTCAACAATTGGTTTCATCAGATGAAAGAGAGTAATAAGTAAGTGGTGGTGACTCAGTTTTTCTTAGTCTTCCTGCCATACTAATCTAATCATTTTCATTCATAAAATGTGTGATGCACTTCAGCAACCACATATAAATTTTCTGTACATAGCTGGGAATAACGCCTATTACAAATAAATCAAGGTGGAACCGGGAACAGAAAGACATTCGTTCAAGTTGTCCCACTTCAAACGAGAAGTGGGTAGAAAAAGTGATATGAAGGTAGACAAAGGTGTATGAGACGAGATTGAATAATAAATAGATGATGGTTAATGAAAGGATTCAAAACTTCGGACATAAAAAAAGAATGTGTGTACATCTTTTCCGCTGTGAACAACGGAGTCCCTAACCGTTGATTCTTATCATCTAGAAGAAAAACAGACAGTCTACACCTATTTGCGTGGCTCAAACCAACAGTCTTAGACCCCGTAAGGCTAATTATGCTACTACTTGTAGAAACAGATATCAACCTGTGGTCTATTGGTTGAAAGTTGCACACCTGAGCCAGTGAACCATAAGTTCGCATATTAGTAACTGAAATATATATACTGAATAGAATAAATGATGAAACAATATTACTCTGCTTCAAGTTGTTATACTTTTCAGAAACGCAACGAATGCTCTTAGAAGCCTTATGGTATCAAAATGAACTAGAAGAAGGGTAATGATGCATGAAATCGCAATATTTTGAAACAGCAGAACAAGCTGCTGAATTTTCACAGGGAGATAGTGAATCAGTACTAATAAGTCAGTTTTTAACACCAATAATAATAATTACAATAGGGAGAGGGTGCACAACTGAGTGGTCACCTACGTAATCGGTTCACTAATCATGTTTTTTTGAATCCAAAACTTCTGTAATGCCAAACGAATATTGAACCAGTAACCAACTGGTTTCGGCCAATTACTCCAACCAATGAATCATACCCGTTTTACGATTAGAGTCTATATTCATTTATTTTTAACCCCTCAGGAACTATGATCACTCAGTTAGTAGTTACCTGACGTGCTTTGAACTAGAAATCGGTGGCTTGACCACTTTTATGATTTTTATCCCCTACACCCACTCCAGCCATCATAGCAAGTTGAAGTAGACATTGGTTGAAGATGGATCCATTTACATCATTGAATATGTTCTATTATAATTTTAACAAGTTATTTCTCTCAACTTATCCTCAATGAACTACTGTCTTTGTAGTTGCACCACATGTTTTAATCACCTTAGTGGTAGAAATGAATAAATACTTCTAGATTTTTTATTTCACCTACCTTCAATGGTCCTTGGAACGGCGAAAAAGTTTCACGAGTGATGTAAATTGTTGATTTTTCAAACTTTTCATCTTGACTTCTAAACAAACAGAAAGCGGTTATCATTATGTTTTTGAGATTTCTAAAAAATGTAGTATTAGTAAAAATTATCTTTGAAAGTGTTGAATAAATATTTATCATCTGATCACTCACTGATACCCAGTACTATTAAAATAAAATTCCCAATGAAGATAAATTATTATTTGTTTTCCGAATGTTGAAAATACTATGGTTGATGAATCTAGCTTCATCTTGTTTGCTTTTTTATTAGCCTTGAAATGGGAAGATTATATATTTTCAACAATATCGGTATAGAATCTCGAAAGTGTTGGATAGTTTTATTCCACATTAGATTATTGTAGTAGATATAACACACAGTCAACCTCGCCTGGTTATCTAGTTCACTAGTTACTCGCCGGTCCTAAGCCCGGGTAGAGAGGGAAGGTTGGGTATAGGGCTAGCAACCCTACCCCTTAAAACAAATCTAACCGCTAAAGAAACTTCAAAGCACAAACGATATATAAAAAATAAAAACAAAATTATTCCTAGCTGGAATCGGAGAGGCGAAATGACGCCAGTTGGTGAAAGCCTGCCTTCGGGAAGCCAATTGGCCAGGTCGATGTGTCTTCTCTCCCTCGATGAAAGCGAAAGTAAACGTGGGGACATGGAATGTCCGTACGATGTTTGAACTCAGCAAGGCAGCCCAGATTGCAAACCAGATGAGAAGGTATCACATTGAAGTACTTGGAATTTGCGAAAGCAGATGGAATGGGAGTGGACTCTCCAAACTGTCAACTGGAGAATCAATAATCCGCTCCGATATTGTCACCCAGACGACAACCACGAGCACACTGAGTTATGGAGTGGCTATCATGATGTCCCCAAGAGCATCGAAGGCTCTCATGCAGTGGGAACCAATCTCCTCCAGGATCACGACAACAAGATGGATTCAACTCAAAAGGAAGGAAAGTCACAATCATACAATGCTGTAAACCTACAAATAATGCAGAGCAAGAGAAGAAGGAGGAATTCTACAGACGACTGCAATCAACACTGGACAAGACGTCAGTTGGCGATATCAAAATTCTAATGGGCGGAGTGACATGAATGCCAAACTGGGAGGGGACAACACAGGAAGAGAACTAACCATGGGTCGAGAAACGCTCAGTGAAATGAACAAGAATGGAGAACTGTTTGCAGATTTCTGCACATTCAACGATTTGGTGATTGGAGTCAGGCACTGTGTTCAAGCACAAGGATATCCACAAAGCAACATGGATTTCACCAGACACCAGGACACACTAAAAATCAAATCGACTTTATCTCAATCTCAAGAAAGTGGAGATGCAGTCTACTTGACACAAGGTCAAGAAGAGGGGCAGATGTAGGTTCACACCACTCACACCACTATCTAGTGCAAGGAACCTTCCAAATCAAGTTAAAAGCCTTCAAGGAGGGTGGTGATAGACCTCAATTCAAGTACAACACTCGGAAACTGAAGGATGAAACTACAAAGCAGATCTTCACGGCAGCCATCAAGACAAAATGGGAGATATCGAGGAACATCCCTGAAGAAACCTGTGTGGAAGAACACTGGAAGTCCTTGAAAGAGATGTGGAAAGAAACCTGCACAGCCGCATTAGGAAGAAAGAAGAAAGAAGAGAAGGAATGGATCTCGACGGATACCTGGAAGCTGATAGAGGAGAGGAGGATGGTGAAGCAGAAGATAAACCAGTGCAAGGATGCTCAACGACAAGAGGAACTGAGCTCAATGTATAAAACACTGCACTGGACAAAGAAGTGAAGAAGAGTGCACGGAAAGACAAAAGATACTCCTACGAAACACTGGCAAGTGAAGCAGAACAGGCTGTAGTTAGGAGAGATAGAGACCTGACGACATTGTATCAAATAATCAGGTTGCTATCTGGGAAGAGATCAACGCAGACGAAGCCAATAAAAGATGATGAAGGAAATTTAATTACCAAAGAAGAGAAACAAAGGAAACAATGGGCCGGCCACTTCAAGAAGCTCTTGAATCGACTACCACCACCACCTGCACTTCGTCCAGAAATACCACCTACAGCCCAGCCACTGAACTACAAGTAAACATAAATCCCCCAACAAAAATGGAAGTCCTGAACGCCATAAAAATGTTGAAATGTGGGAAAGCAGCAGGACCAGATGGTATCCCACCAGAAGCACTGAGAGCAGACGCAGAGACAACAGCGGACATGCTCACACCACACCACTATTGCAGAAGGTGTGGAAGGAAGAGAAGGTACCTGGCTAGTGATTGGAAGAAGGGTTACCTTGTCAAACTGCCAAAGAAGGGAGACCTCAGTGTTTGCAAGAACTGGCGCGAATGACTCTGCTGTCCACCCAAAGCAAGCAAAATATTGAGCCGCATCATCCTGGAGAGGCTAAAGGATGCACTGGATTCAAAACTACGACCGGAACAGGCAGGCTTCAGGAGGTACAAATCCTGTGCCGACCAAATTGCAACGCTTCGCATCATCATACAATAGAGTATAGAATGGCAGTCAGCTTTCTACCTCAACTTTATCGACTTTGAGAAGGCCTTTGACAGCGTCGACCGAGAGGTAATTCGGAAACTGCTTCATTACTACGGAGTACCGCAAACTTTTATCCGCCTCATTCAACAACTATATGAAGACGCCACATGCCAGCCGAGTAATTTACAATGGGAAGCTCAGTGATGCTTTTGAAGTGAACTGGAGACAGGAGTGAAACAAGGTTGTCTACTATCCCCCATGATATTCCTGCTTGTGGTGGACTGGATCATGCAGCAAACAGTGGGGAGCGAGGAGAAGGGGATACGCTGGCTGGACTGCGGAAAAGAACCTGGATTTCGCCAACGATGACTTGTGCCTGATATCACGTAAACTTGAAGATCTACAGGCGAAAACTAACAAGTTGACAGAAGAGACGAGGCAGCGAAGGAAGACGGGACTTCAAGTGAATATAGAGAAGACAGAGGTGATGAAGATACCGCACCAACAACTCCAGTCACCATCAACGTGAGAAACTTAAAGGAAGTAACCTCCTTCACCTATCTAGGAAGCACTGTTTCAACTACAGGTGGCGGCACAGACGAGGATGTCAAAGTCAGAATCGGAAAAGCAAGACAGGCGTTGATTAACCTGAAACCAGTGTGGAGATCTTCTGCACTCCACTCAGCATGTGGAACAAGATCCGGATTTTCAACACCAATTCAGTCAAGTCAGTGCTTCTGTATGGTTCAGAGACTTGGCGCGTTACGAAAGGGATTCCCAATAAACTACAGACATTCATCAACAACTGCTTACGCTAGTTCGTTACTGAAGATCAGATGGCCAGAAAGAATAAGCAAGAAGGAGCTCTGGGAACGAACCAACCAAGAACCTATCACCCAACAGATACGCACTGGAAGGAAGTGGAGATGGATTGGGCATGCACTGAGAAGGCCGACTGGGGACATCACGCGCCAGGCCCTCGAGTGGAACCCCGATGGGAAGCGACGAGTGGGGCGTCGGTGCCGAGGGTGACATGGAGGAGATCGTGCGAGGAGGAAATGAGAGCTTGTGGGCTGTCGTGAAACCAGGTTCAAAAGATTTCAGAGAACAGAGGTCACTGGAGACGTGCTACTGAAGCCCTATGTTCCACTAGGAACCCATGGGACTAATAATAATAATAATAATAATAATAATAATAATAATAATCACAGTAACTTACATGACAAATATAATTTTACTTTCAAATGCTTATTCATCACTAATAAATAGCTTGCATAGGATTAGGATAAACATTATACCACTTCTTTAGTGGTCACCAGCAGTGAAATTTAAAACGCATGCTTAGAATTTCTTGTCTCACTTCTAGATCTTAGTAAGTGTTAGAGCTCCCACTGAAAACTCCACCTAGCATATATTACTTAAAACACAAGTGTGTATTATTCTCTAGGTCACAACGTTGACTTGTTAATTCTGTTGCAAATATCTCTGATTTGTAATTCCCAGATAGTATGCCACACTAGTTTGACTCGAATATCATAGAATCATTATCGGAAAATGGTTTACTTCTGTGCAACAATGTCGGGTTTCATGTTGATATTGACTGAACTGACTTAAGAAGAAGATACTGTTCAATTATTGAAAACCCATCGAGATGTCCAGCATGCAGAAAAGCAAACATGTCTTCACATCTCTCATGTGTATTTATATTATTAAATTGTTATAAAATCCACCAACTTTCACCGGTATAAACCATTTTTCTACTGGGTAATGCAATTAACTAACCGTCCCATTATATTGGTGTCGTTCGTTGCATATTGTGTATGAACGTGCAAATGGTTAATGTGCTATATTTCATTTTTCCGAAGATGATGAGGGAATAAGGAATTTAAAAAATCAAAGCAATGCATGAGTAAACACTCATGAACGTAGGTCTTATGTAGCCACCAAAAACTCATGGTTTTTAATTCCCGCCAGCGATCCATCTGATGTGATGATGAATACAACTACAGCATAATAGGCGATTTCTGAGTCGATCAAATGTGGTCTTAAAGATAATGTAGTGTTGTCTTATAATGAGGAATCAGTAGCGCTAGAAACGTCACCTAGAAATAACAATGTATGACTGTGTGTTATTATTATTTATTATTATTAGTCCCTTGGGTTCCTAGTGGAACATAGGGCTTCAGTAGCACGTCTCCAGTGACCTCTGTTCTCTGAAATCTTTTGAACCTGGTTTCACGACAGCCCACAAGCTCTCATTTCCTCCTCGCACGATCTCCTCCATGTCACCCTCGGCACCGACGCCCCACTCGTCGCTTCCCATCGGGGTTCCACTCGAGGGCCTGGCGCGTGATGTCCCCAGTCGGCCTTCTCAGTGCATGCCCAATCCATCTCCACTTCCTTCCAGTGCGTATCTGTTGGGTGATAGGTTCTTGGTTGGTTCGTTCCCAGAGCTCCTTCTTGCTTATTCTTTCTGGCCATCTGATCTTCAGTAACGAACTAGCGTAAGCAGTTGTTGATGAATGTCTGTAGTTTATTGGGAATCCCTTTCGTAACGCGCCAAGTCTCTGAACCATACAGAAGCACTGACTTGACTGAATTGGTGTTGAAAATCCGGATCTTGTTCCACATGCTGAGTGGAGTGCAGAAGATCTCCACACTGGTTTCAGGTTAATCAACGCCTGTCTTGCTTTTCCGATTCTGACTTTGACATCCTCGTCTGTGCCGCCACCTGTAGTTGAAACAGTGCTTCCTAGATAGGTGAAGGAGGTTACTTCCTTTAAGTTTCTCACGTTGATGGTGACTGGAGTTGTTGGTGCGGTATCTTCATCACCTCTGTCTTCTCTATATTCACTTGAAGTCCCGTCTTCCTTCGCTGCCTCGTCTCTTCTGTCAACTTGTTAGTTTTCGCCTGTAGATCTTCAAGTTTACGTGATATCAGGCACAAGTCATCGTTGGCGAAATCCAGATCTTCTAGGTTCTTTTACGCAGTTACTCTGATGCACAGGCATGAAGATCAATGTTCAATTAAGTGATGTGACCAGCCGATAATTGGGAGTACACAGATTATGAATGCAATTTCATTAGGCGGGATATTTTGTTCACCTAAATATAATTATTATTTGGTTGAGTGGTTATTACTAGAGACTTTACTTGATTCAGCAAATACTTTTTAAAAACTTAAATATAGGTTCACTTATCATGAAGTAAACCAAGGAGATTAATCTTTTGAGTAGAAAAAACCAAAATCGATTTAACACAGCGATTGTAAACTGCAACTTTACAAATAGTCTGAACATATTCCTAATCCAATGATAGGTGATTGACTGGTCCAGCTCACTGACTGCCTATCATTTAACCCCAAGTCAATAATGCTTTCTCTCTTTTAGCACTTTATATTTCTTTTGACTGAATTTTCTTATCTTCATCTTGTGTCTCACTGACTTTTTACTGGATGTACTGATATGAGCTGTGGCAACTCGAGCCGTTACGCAGTATTGCCTGGTCCTATGTTGATGATGATGAAGTTAGTAATGCAACCTTGGTCTATATTAATCAATATTGGTTAGTACTTAATAATTTATTCCAATTATGACACCAAATCGTCAGGTAACTGACTGTTGATCTTATCGATCTGGGGAACTGAGTAGTATCATAGGCCGTTATTCATTCTGTACGATTTACATGTGCCGGTCTACTGAGTCCCATTATTAATTGTAGATTTGACATGCTGCATTGAAAGTAACGTGATAGTGGCTTTAGTTCATAAGGTAAGGTAAACGTAATAGCCAAAAATATTACTAAGTATACCTTCAAACTGAAATATCTTCTGTATTCTGAACCTGGTCGTTTTCTTTATTGTTCGCTGTTAAGACAGATGCCTTGGTAACTCAGACCGATGAACCGTTTTTTCGCATTGACGTAAACACTTATAGAGGTCAAGAGGTAGAAATGAAAGAGAGTAAAATTTCTTCTGAATCCTATCGCACAACGTAAGTAACTCCTATGGGATTAGAGATGATCGGCCGAGAGCCCCTGGACTTAGGTTTCATGTTTATCGGTTTTCATCAGCAAAGCACGCCTACTATTTCGAAAAAAAACTATTGTCGCCTCAGGGATCTAAATCTGCGTAGTCTACTTCTGCAGTTGGAAGCGTTACCATTGAGCTTGCTAATTCACAGGCTTCTACCGATTGTTTTCAACCTAGTAACATTAAATAAGGTGTACGGAAATAAGAATCTCTTATTTTGGTGATGACACTAAGAAATGATCGCTATTTCTCGGCCAACGCTTAGAACCAACAGTGAAATTAGTTACTCTTCGGTGTATGAGTAATACTGTAAGTCGTTTTTAAAAATGACTGTTTCTTCCTAATTCATTTCTAAATTTGATTTTTTTTAGGAATTTGCCATTTGCAACTACTATTGGAGCTGCGTTTGCAGCTTGCACCCTGACGAGAAAATCTTCACTTTTGGCATATTCAAAGCACGGTCGTTCTATGATTACATCACAAATGCTGCCAGAAATCCACAACGCATTCCAGCAACTTTTCACTAAAAAATTACTAAAGTAGGGAATTCAGACAAGATATGAATTAATTATTCCTATCCGATGTTGATATTGGTTATTGTAAACAGCAACTAATCTTAAAATTGTATGCAACTGATAATTTTTTTTCTGTGTTCATGGGTTGAACCGTTAGCTTACTTCTGAAGTGGTGTTAAGAAGAATTTTTACATAAACACGCGAATGAACTATTAAATTAAGAGTATTTAAGGTAGCTGGTTCATTTAATCATTCTGTTTGCGCTTGTAGAAACGGTGTTACTGATGTGTTTTCATCACAGGTTGGAAGAATGGATGCTTATCATGAAAAACGGCAATAAATAACCATGCTACCATTGACTTTCAAGAGTGTACATGCACAATGCACATATTTAAAAAACGCGAGTGAATTTCACCTGTCTTCTGGATAAGACATCGTTTGTGTGTTATCAATAATGTTGGATATACATGCTACTACCACTAAAACGTATTTGCTTACGCTGCGGTAGACGTTTAAAATCAAGTACTTTAATTCATGTTTTCTTTGTGATAAAATGATTACAATGCAAAAAACTATTCTGCACTATGGATATCAGCATTTTGGTCACATAATACAGCAAACATTCTACTAAAAAACCTTCAGGTGATAAATGATAGTTTTCATTTTTGAGAGACGAAATCGCAGATAGGCAATATAAACATAGGACTTGCCATTACTGCGTGATGGTCAAAGTTCCCGCATCCCATATCAGCACATCACGCGAGGATACATGATAAAAAGTAAATAAAGCGGTCAAAGTTGGTACAAAGTCATCGAAACACAGGAAAAATGAATAAGAAACTACCGAAATTCAGCATGACGATTAGGATGAAAATAACATGTGGATACATATACATCTGAGCAATGTCATCTAGAATCTCCAAACACTGATTAACAATGGCATGAGGACACCAACGAGGAAGTCAACACTCCGCTGCACAGTTTACACTAACGGTCAAACATCTCATGCACTGATGTCGTGATTTAGTCTGACCACGTTCAACCGTTTCGAGCATAAACCTACTTCAGCCAACATTGTGCGATGAGACAGACAGTGGTTTGGCATGCGTAACACATTTCTCAGCCGCCTGAGTTGATAAAGGTTCACAACCTTACCCGCCGACTTTCTTTTTCTGCCAAAAACTCTACGCCTGACTTCTAAGTCATTGACGTGGTGACACCATGACACGTCGTGTGTCACCAAGGCAACGGTGGCCGAACACCTTTCCTGCCTTCAACGGCCATGTTTCACAGCCATATAGTTGAACAGAGTGGACTGCGACGCAGTACACTCGACCCTCAGTAGGCAGTCGAGTATCACAGTGGTGCCACAGGTGGCGTTATTTGGTGAGAGCTAGGTGAACCTTTTGTATCCGTGCAGAGATATCGTCGAGGAGTGCCCCTCTATGGTTGGAGTGATGGACCAGCTCAACCGTCTCTCGCCTACTACTATTAGATACGGCACCACTGAAGATCAGCTCTGGAGCAATAACTCACGTCTGGATGGGGAGAAATCCAGTCCAAATATCCTCAAGATACCAGTTATGTGTCCACAACACTCTGCATCTCGTCAGCGTCTTCACCTACCAGGACTAAGTCATCTGCTTACTCTAGACCTACTAATGAGTCTCCTGTGATAAGATCAATGGCTGGGCAGCCAGAGGACAAGAAGGAGACCTTTCATATGTACGTCTATGATAAAATTGAATAGGAATAGAGAGAGTGAATATCCTTGACAGACACCACTCGATGTATAGAACTCGCTAAAGGCTCTAACATGCTCATGAGTGTTCTAGTGCAGAACCATAAACGGAGTGACGTACTTGCTCAGGAACCCAGCTTTCAGTGAGAAACACTACCATACGAAGCTTCGGCTGGTGCCGCTTTCAAGTCGATAAGTGTGACTGTGCTCTAGAAAGTAGTCGAAGGTGAGTGAATATCTGGTCTGCACGCACACGATTAGGTTCGGAGCCTGTCTGGCTTACTCGATTGTACTGTCCCGAAGGTTTTCTTAAAAGTGTAATGATCATAAGACCTAGAATCTTAGACACTGCTCGTCAGAATTATTTTCGCGGAAATAAGAAGAGAACTTCTCCATTTTCTTGAAGACCGGCATACTCAGTGATCAAACCGAGTAAAGACGAATAATATCTACCCCCATACATTAGCTCGCAGTTCATTTAGTTTAAGCAGTAATCAAAGACCACCATGCATTAATACCTTTGGTGCTAGTATGGCTGTCCCTGCTGCTCATACCGATTTCACATTGCTTACAGCCTTCGCGACTTCTGTAAGTGTGAAACATTTTCCTTGATGTTTTACTTAAGATTTGACTGGAAAGCAGGTAATAGAACAGTAGTTGTATAAGAGGTGAACTGTATCGTCTATTCTTTAATCCCCCGCCTTTGGAATGAACCGCTCCATTGCTTTGAGTATCCTAAAATCTTTTCTCTTCCGTTTTCGATACGTCTAATTGGCTATCTGCTATTGCCTATAACCGCACACTTTTCTGCCTCTTTATTGTAATACACAAGACCCAGTCAAACACAACCTATCCTCCTCAATTTTGTCTACACCCTTATCTTCACCTCCTGATACTAATATTAAGTCTCCTACACATTCCTCACCCTTTCATTCTGCAGCCACTGCCAACAATCGAAGTCATTGTAAACTCATTCCTAGTCTTCAAAGACCCCGCTATCGACTTCATGTACGAGCTTTCAACATCCCAACTCTGGAATATCTAGCCATGGATGTATGCTGTCTCTGAAACATAGCATGTATACATGACCCGAGTTTGGTTATTTAATTGACCTTATCTGCCCATAGTAGTGAATCTCCAAAATTCACCTTACGAGTGTCCGAAGACCTAACAGCAAACTCTCGTCGACCTACTGGAGTAGGCACAGCACTGAGTTGTAGAGCAGAAAATGAGCTAAAAGACTCGATACCAGTCAATAGCTGTCTTTGTGCCGTTCAACTGAATGGATCTGTAAGGACTGAGAAGGATGGTGAGACTAAGCGATCCCTATTCGTTATCTCCGCTACCCACCAACCGACTGAAGTTCCGATGATGCAGAGGATGAATTCTATGAGAAGCTGTCAACTTCGCTACAGAAAACAAAACGTTCAGATGTAGTTATAGGGGTAGGTGACTTCAACGCTCAAGTAGGGGAGTTCAGCCAATCGGAAAAGTATCTACGGAATCCCATCCCAACGAACCGACAACGGTGATCGACTGACAATCACTTGTTCATGACCAGCACTAACTTTAGGCATAGGGAGAGACACTGTCTCATGTGGCGTCCGCCCACCTCAAACCAAAGATGAACACAGATATATCACATTGCTACAAGCCACCATTGGAGAGGATTGCCGTTGTTTTTAAAGTACTTGCTTGGACTCTGATCATGTGCCAGTACGGGCCCACGTATGTCTGAGCCTTACTGGTCACAAGAAATGGGTGGCAGTAAAGCCTGTTTATGGTCGAATGAAAAAGGAGAACGTCAAGTCTGAATTTAGGGAAGAGATGGCTAAGCATTTATCTGAACATGACAGCAACCCTCATCCTGAAAAAACCTGATGTGATATTACGTCTGCTGTAAAAACAGTGGTAAAGACAGTATCACTGTTTTTATATTATACCGTCGTTGATTGGACAGAATTGATCGGTCTCTATTCGCATATGGGCTCCCGTGCGGATGTCTCGATACTATATGCGTTCTAATTATAGTAATGATGAATAGGACGAAATCCGCATCCTGGATTCCACTGCTAGCCACTATCCATCATTACCATAATGGTAAGGACAGATGGTAACCTACACCCAAACGTCATCGAATTTTTGCAACGTCGTCCAGAATGAATGGAGCGATAAGACTGATTCTAGCGTCCTCTGACCAAGAAGAAAAGCAAAAACAACTCAAATGTGAATTCATCAAAAATCTTCGCAAGAATCGCGAGGAGTGGCGAGTGGAGAAACAAGAGAAATGGAGAAGGCCTCAGCGTTGGGCAACTACCCGGCAACTGTTTAGACTTATTAAGTATACCGGCAAGAAGAAGACAATAGCTGGTAAAACCATCACCAAAAAGGATAGTACCCTGATAATCCCGCAGGATAGATGGCTAAAATGTTGGGTACAGCACTTTAAAGCACAGTCCAACTGCCCCATAGGAACGCTTCAGTTGCCCAACATCAAGTCTAAACTTGAATGCCATGTGGATGTCGATAATCCAACTCTCCGCGAAGCTTAAAAAGCTGTATCGAACGTGGAACGACATAAAACAGCAGGATCTGACACAGTTTGCCACCTGAAGTTTTCAAGGATGGAGATAGGAAAGTGATGGAGGTATTAGGTAGTGTATGGGAATCTGAGGTAGTGCCATCAGACTGGTCCACTTCACTCGTCATCCCAGTCAATAAGAAGGGAGAGAAATCTTGTTGTGATAACTATAGGGGAATTAGTCTGACTAATATTCTGTTCAGGATTCTATGATCCATAGTTATCTGACGTCTAACTGACACTTGACAACGGCAAACTCGAGAACACCAGACAGACTTCAGATATGGTCGAGGGTGCATCAGTCACATTTCCACCCCATGACAGCTTCTGAAACACAGACATACTCATGACCAACACTTACCATATTTGTTGACGTGAAGGCGGCATTTGACTCTCTCGATCGTGAGATGTTGTGCCACCGTCTGACTGTGAAGGGAGTACCGAGCAAGTATGTTACGTGAATCAAAGCTCCCCACTCGAACTCACGCAGTCGTGTAGGGGCTTATGGAGAGTTGTCAACAGCTAGTGATGTCCACTGACACCATTCCTACTTAACTTTGTCACAGACGTACTAATAGACTTAATCATAGGTATGTGTGACTTCACAGGCATTAACCTGCTCGTTGGAGGTCATCTAGTTGATTTTGAATATGCAGACGATATTGTCCTGCTGGGTGAAAACGCAGGGTCCTGTGAACGCACTGAG